CTGTAGCTCAGGGAGTAGGGCACCAGCCCCATATGAAATCAGTACATTGTACCCCATAAATGCATTAATGTATACATGATCTATATGTTTATGATTTAATAAAAAAAAAAAAAAGCAGAGAAAAACTGAAAATAACAGCCAATCCGTGAGTGACTAGTCCTAAGAGTCTTATTTGGGCAGTGCCTGTAGCTCAGGGAGTAGGGCACCAGCCCCATATTCTGAGGGTGGCGGATTCAAACCCAGCCCTGGCCAAACTGCAACAAAAAAAACAGCCGGGCATTGTGGCAGGTGCCTATAGTCCCAGCTATTGGGAAGTCTGAGGCAAGAGAATTGCCTAAGCCCAGGAGTTGGAGGTTGCTGTGAGCTGTGTGATGCCTCGGCACTCTACCGAAAGCAATCAAGTGAGACTCTGTCTCTACCACAAAAAAAGGAATCTTATTTATCTGTCTTACTATGAGTTTAGGGAGGAAAATGCTTAGCTATAGATAGTAATAGGACATTATTAAAAGTCCATATGCTTTTTAAGAGAAATCCTGACAATCTTACGAGGGTAGATAACTATTATCCCTATATTACAGATGAAGAAATTGAGGCACAGAGAAGGAAAACAACTTGCTGAAGGTAACACAAGTAGGACATACAGAGCAGGAAATTAAACTAAGAAAGTCTAGTTCCAGAATTAATCCTTTTTAAAATTCAGCATGTATCCAACAAATAATGTCTGTTGTGTCAGACCCTGAAACAAAGGTGAGTAAGACTTGATTTAGGCTCCACACTGTCCACTAAGGGAGCCTGTATGCTAGGTGTAGTCAGATCTGTGCAGGGAAACACCCAGGTGCTCCATGTAGCTTCAAAAAATTTGCCCTCCACAAGTCCCCTTTTCTTGTTTTTCTTCAGCTTTTTCTTTTTTAGATAAGATTCCCACTCTGTTGCCCAGGCTAGAGTACCATGGCATCACCCTCGCTCACAGCAACCTCAAACTCCTCTGCTTTAAGTGATCTTCCTGCCTCAGCCTTCCCAGTAACTGGGACTACAGGTGCCTTCCACAAAGCCCAGCTAATTTTGCTGTTTTTAGTAGAGACAGGGTCTCTCCGTTGCTTAGGCTAGTCTCGAATTCCTGAGCCGAAGAGATCCTCCTGCCTTGGCATCCCAGAGTGCTAGTTTCTTTAGCTTTCTAATGAAATGTTTAAAAGTTCACTTTTCCTTTTGGATAGGAGGTTAAAGTACAGGTTTTCTTACCAGCTACAGCAACGAGGTAAGAGGCATCCATGATGTTAATTCCCAGTGTTTTGGCTCTGGCTACCAGGTGAAAAGTGGGGATAAAATATGCTAACTGACTGAGAAGAAAAGACCAGGTAAATATATAAAAGAAAGGATTTCTAAAGAGAGAAGTATCAAAGAATTTTTGCTTGCAGCTCCACAAAATAGCCTTTTTCTCATGACTTTCTTCATTACTTATTAACAGTCTGTTCTTGTTAGGCCCACTGTTTACCTCCTCACTTTGGTTTTGTGAGGCTATTAAACTTTTACCGGGTTGTCCAGCCTTGTGCATAGTACTGTCTTTGATGGGAGATTCTTGTGTCTCATTATAGTAGGTTCCATACTGTAGTTCTGGATCACTTGCAAACAAATTACTACCTTTATCTTTAATGTCAGAATTGTTCTCACTTTTGATATGGATAGGTCGTAAGAGCATAGTAGATGGCACCAAATTCAATGTGATAGCTCCAAATAATATAAGGGCACCTAAAAAGAGAAGTTAAAAATAACTTTTCAGTTCACAGTACTATTTTTGTATTAGTCTTAGAAGAGGCTCCATAACATAATTCAATAATTTTTTTTTTTTTTTTGAGACAAGGTCTCCCCATATTGACCTGGATAGAGTGCAGTGGCATGATCATAGCTCACTGTGACCTAAAACTCCTAGGCTCAAGTGGTCCTCCTGCCTCAGCCTCCTGAGTAGCTGGGACTATAGCTGTGTGGCACTATACTCAGCTAATTTTTCTGTTTTTTGTAAGGACAGGGGTTTTGCTCTTGTTTGAACTCCTGATCTTAAGCAATGGTCCTGCCTTGGCCTTCCAAAGTACTAGGATTCCAGGAATGAGTCACCATGTGCAGCCCAAATAATTCTGGAAACCTTGTCCCCTGAATTTGAGGTAATTGTTAGCTATGTACACTTACGCTGCCTTTTTTTTTTTTTTTGCGGTTTTTGGCCAGGGCCAGGTTTGAACCTACCACCTCCAGTATATGGAGCCGGTTCCCTACTACTTGAGCCACAGGTGCCGCCCCTTACACTGCTGTATCCCTGTAAAAACAGAGTCTTTTGGAGATAGAAAACCAGTAAGATGCACTAATAAGACATGATGGAAGGAGAGGTTATTTGTGCTAAAGGGGAAAAACCCATTTTTTTAGGGAGAGTGTATTTCACATATTTAAAAATTACAGTTGGGCTTGGCGCCCGTAGCCAAGTGGTTACAGCGTTAGCCACGTACACTGAGGGTGGCGGGTTTGAACCCAGCCTGGGCAAGCTAAACAACAACAACCAAAAAAAAGATAGTCGGACATTGTAGGGTCTGTAGTCCCAGTTGCTTGGGAGGCTGGGACAAGAGAATCGCTTAAGTCCAGGAGTTTGAGGTTGCTGTGAGCTGTGACATCATAGTACTCTACTGAGGGCAACATAATGAGACTCTGTCTCAAAAAAATAAAAATTACAGTTGGCAGTATATAAAAGATTGACGATTAAGGAACATTATCCTCTTTTCACCAAAATATTTTTTTTAAAGGAAAAATGTGGAAAGTAAATGCTTTCATGATGGAGTGGAGAAGCTTATTTGTCTAGAATTATCACTTTCTCTGCAAGGTGTTTCCAGCTGCACAGAATGCCCTTCATCTCAGATATTGAACCCTATGGTGATTTCTGGGTTGCTTGTGTGGGCTGGCAAATTCTGCAGGTAGTTCAAATTTCTGTTGTGTATTCTATTTTTTTGCAGTTTTGGCCAGGACCAGGTTCAAACCTGCCATCCCCAGTATGGGCTGGTGCCCTACTCCTTGAGCCTCAGGCACCGCCCTCTGCTGTGTATTCTTTAAGGAGGAAAGAAAAGCATGGTTACTTTAGAAATCATGCTCTTTTCCTCCCCGGCAATACTTTGGAAAATCAATTGCTCTAAAAGTTTACTTTTCACTCATCAAAGGGAAAGAGCTGAACATTAAATCTTGCAGAATTGATAGTTCAGAAATTTAAAATGACCCACCTGTCCAGTCATATAGGTCTATTAGGAGTTTTGTAAAGGGTGCCAAGAGAAATGTCAGTCCCATCCCAGAACGGGCAATAGCTGTAGAAAGAGCCAATCGTTTTTTGAAATATTTGGTGGTAAGTACAGCAGCTGCTTGGTACAAGAAAGCAGAACCCAAACCTAAAAGAGAAACATAATTGGGAATCACTTTCACATTAAGTGATTTGGTACCAGATGAGATATACTCCTGAATCTATGGTAATACAGCTAGGCCTTCGAACCCAAAGGAGAAGGGAAGGTTCCTGTTCCGTCTTTTATAACCATACTTAAGGTGAACTCACCAGGTAAAAGTCCCATAGTCACACACAGAAAGGGAATGCTTGTAGCCCAGCTGCTGATCAGATATCCACCAGTAACAAGGAAAGTCCCAATAATGGAGGCAGTTTTCTCACTAAATATGTCGCAAGTAATGGCAACCAGAGGACCTTAGGAGAAGAAAGAAAGGTAACTCCTAGGTAAATAGGCTCTGGCATCCCTTTTGATAATTTAAATGAAAGACTGACGTGGATTCTCTACTTTGGAGTATTATGTATCCTTCAGAAAAAGGTGGTTTGCATTTCTTATTATTACCAGATCCTAAACTCCTTTTTGGAAGAAGAGTTTTAAAAATAAGTGGATTGTAAATAAAGTTTGAAGGGAGAAGCGTATTGAAAAGCATTAGAAAACCTTCACAAAATGTGATTGCATCCACAGACCAATGATTGGTGGATGGTTGAATCACCAACTTACTGTTCCACTATATTATAGTTCCAAATAAACCAAACGAGGAGAAATTGGTTCTATATGTTGTTTTAAGGATACTCAGATGACTAGAACTTCATGGTCTGACTTCCAGGTTAAGGGCCTGGCTCACTAAACCTGTAGTGAGACATTACCACACTGTGGAAAGAAATAAGGCATGAAAAATTGAGTCGTAGAATTTAACTGAATTCTTCAACTCTCTTTGTTGCAACTCCAGTTTTCCCAACTTAGTTACCAAGTCAAGTGGAGGCTAAACACTGAATTCCTTTCTCAGTATTACATATTAACAAATGAACCTGAATTTTAGCAACTCTTTAGACTTGAATGACTGAGGAATCGTCTAGGAATTGCCTTTTGTGGTTCTCCTTGAACATCAAGCTTATTTCCAGCTTTATACCTGCAGAAAAACGAAGTGAAGACATGATGGATCCAATCCAACCAGTTTGCTCTGAGGTGGCTTCAAACTTTTCTTGAAAGACCACAAAAAAAATCGCGAAAGTCTTGGTCATCCCCATCACAAACACATTGACCTAAATCAAAGTAGACCAGAGTCAAGTCAGGTGGTGAATGAACCATCTGAGGGAAAGTTACAGCTACAAGAAGTTAACTCCCCAATCACTAGTATTTACCGTTTGCTTTGTTGGTTGATCTTCATTTTAGGTGGGAGCTGTTCCTTCCAGAGTGGCTAAGCACTTTAATTGAAAGCATCTCATTGAATCCTCATTTCAAGGTTTCAGAATAGGTCATTAGAGATTAGGAAATGAACGTTTAGGGAGGTAAAAAGTTTCTTAAGACCAACTACTACTCTACTGTTATGATAACATCTGCTAAAGATTGTTATTAATATCCAGTTACCTTTGTGGGAGAATTAGTTCTATCAGTGTTTTTGCTGTGGCTCTGCACTCTTCTCATTTAATACCTGCTTCTGAGCAGTCATTCACTCAGGGTTTTTTTTTTGTTTTTTTGTTTTTTGAGACGGAGCCTCAAGCTATCCCCCTGGGTAGAATGCCATGGCATCATGCTCACAGCAACCTCCAACTCCTGGGCTCAAGCGAGTCTCCTGCCTCAGCCTCCCAAGTAGCTAGGACTACAGGTGCCCGCCACAACGCCTGGCCATTTTTTGGTTGCAGCCATCATTGTTGTTTGGCGGGCCGGGCTGGAATCGAACCCGCCACCTTAGGTATATGTGGCTGTCGCCTTAGCCGCTTGAGCCACAGGTGCCAAGCCCACTCAGGGTTTTAATTACTGCCTGCACATACTCACTGATGCGACTGAGTACAGTTCTGCAATCAATCTGCCATGGCTTATGTCCTGGCTTGCTTCTTACAAGGGTTGTGACCTTGAGCAAATGACTTCTCAGGAATGGTAAAGTTAGAAGAATGAAAATACTATCTAGCTCAGAGGACTCTGAAGATTAATTTTTAAAAAAATTTTATAAATGAGATAGAATCTCAATCTGTCATCTGAGCTAGAGTGTAGTGGTTCTGTCACAGCTCACTGCAACCTCAAACTCCAAGACTCAAGCCATCCTCCTGACTCAGCCTTCTAAGTAGCTGGGACTACAGGCGCATACCACCTTATCTGGCTGATTTTTCAAATTTTTGTAGCTATGGCATCTCGCTGTGTTGCTCGGGCTGGTCTCCTGTCTCAGCCTCCCAAAGTGCTAGTATTGCAGGTAATAGCTACTGTGCCCAGCTTATGAAGATCAATTGAGAAATTTTTGTAAAATATTCAATCCATGTGCTCAAACAATTAACTGGTTTTGTTATGTTACCATTCTGCCTTTCCAAGAGCTTTAGACTTATGTAACTGTCTACTATGTCCTAATTGTGGTCAATTTGCCCAAACCCAAACTTGACTTTCCTTTACCCTACACCTACTCTTCAATTTTTTGATTGGTACCATCTACCCACTCACCTGAGTTAGAAAGATGCTTTTTCTTAGACACCTCCTTTCCTTGGCCCCTACCTTCTGAATAATCATTAAGACCTTCACCTCTTCATCCCTATCACCAGACTCTTATTCCAGACTAGTATTAACTTTTTTTTTTTTTTTTTTTGAGACAGAGTCTCACTATGTTGCCCTTGGTAGAGTACCGTGGCGTTACAGCTCACAGCAACCTCAAACTCTTGGGCTTAAGAGATTCTCTTGTACCAGCCTCCCAAGTAGGTGGGACTACAGGCGCCTGCCACAACGCTTGGCTATTTTTTGGTTGCAGTTGTCATTGTTATTTAGCTGGCCCAGGCTGGGTTTGAACCTGTCAGCCTCAGTGTGTGTGGCCAGCGCCCTACTCACTGAGCTATGGGCACTGCCCATTTTTTTTTTTTGAGACAGAGCCTCAAGCTGTCACCCTGGGTAGGGTACCGTGGAATCATAGCTCACAGCAACCTTCAACTCTTGAGTGTAAGCAATCCTCTTGCCTCAGTTTTTCTATTTTTAGAGACGGGGCCTCACTTTTGCTCAGGGTACTCTTGAACTCATGAGCTCAAGCAATCCACCTGCCTTGACCTCCCAGAGTGCCAGTAGTAGTATTTCTTACCTGGAGTCAGGGGACTAAGAATTGGTGATGATGTTCAGGGGTTGCAAAGTGGGAATGGTGAGGAAGTAGGTCCCTTGTATTTTTTCCCATACTGATTTTATGGAAGGTACAGAACATTTAGAGTGAACAATGCAATGGACACTAGGACTATGTATTCAAAACAAAAAGACATTTTATCAGGCCCTTCAGGCATTTTGTAACCATAATTTTCCTGCACTGCATTTTCTAGCAGGAAATCAGGCTAGATAATTACATGCAAATCTCAAATGACCTAGACTGATTTCTCTTACTACAAGATAAACAGAGAGATGATTGTGTCCTCGCATGAGCAAGAAACACTAAAATGTGCCATTTTGTCAAATCAGCTCCCCCCGCAACCCCGTAGACACGGGTTCTGTGCTGGTGTCCAGAGGGTGTTGATCTCTATTTTCTTAACCGCCTGAATTTAGCTAGCGGCTCTTCCCCCACTTCAGAACCTTTCCTTTCTGGTCTGTCCTTGATGTCTGGGGTGCAGCAGAAGTGAGTGGTTGGTTTGTCTCTAATAACTGGGTCTGTGTGTTCCTGGTGTGTCAAGAATGCCAAGGGCAGAGCCATTCTATCTAGCAACCTCCCCTCCCTTAACTTAAAAGCTTCCAACTTTGTTTCTGTTTGACTCAAAGATATAAAAAAATCTCTCCTCAGGTCTAAGTTTCCCCCCAATTTAGCAGAATTCATAAATCTAAATTACCCTCCCTAATCCCATGCCTTGGACCAAACATGGTGAGGTGGGTTTCAGTTTCTTCACTAGAGTCCCCATCAGACATTTTACATGGCACATCCCAGAATAAAACAAACACCCTAGAATTTTTCTAGTTCTCTCATTTCTTTTTTGTCTTTAAGAGTAGTTAATTGGCTTGAACCTGGTAGGAAGCAGGCCTTCCCCTCCGCATCAGTAAGAGCGTCCTCACCAGACCATTCTAATTCTCTTGGTAAAGGGGACTAGATCAGCCTCAATGGCCCATTTTGAACTTTGCCAGTTATTCTTAATAACAGTTTCTACTTGCATCTCTCTTTAGTATCTAGCTCTTCCTGATCTTTATAGACAGGCTTCTTTAAAGAATTATCAATTAAGTGTAAAGAATTAGAGGCAAGAATGGGGGAGGGATAGTGTATTAGGTATCTCTACTTCCTCTTATCCCCCTATACTGAAAAAGCCTCCCCTTCACTGTGCCAGCTCTTATCAAGGTCACAGAGACTTCTTTGTTGGTAGACCGATAGGCTGTTGTCATTTCTATCATATTGACCTCCCAGTAGTATCTGCTAATCATTTTCTCCTGGAATTCGTTCTAAATGTTATCATTTTCTCCTTTGCTTAAGGCTTCTGTGACTCTACATTTCTGTATTCCCACTTACTTCTCTAACTGCTGCTCCGTTTTCTGTGTGGGCTCCATTCCCTAGATGATGGTTTTTCTCAGTGTTATGTTCTAGTCCTCCCTCTTCTCTCCCTGGTGATTTCACTGATCCTGCCTTAAAGTCCAAACTATTGGTCTATGGTGATGACACACATTTCAGTATGCAAATCCTGTGCTCCAAATGCACAGGCTGTATGCTGCACACATTATTGGTTCTTTTATAAGACCTCAGACTCAGGCCAGGCACAGTGTCTCACACCTATTATCCTAGCACTCTGAGGGGCCCAGGCGAGTGGATTGCCTGAGCTCACAGGTTTGAGACCAGCTTGAGCCAGAGCAAGCCCTCGTCTCTAAAAATAGCTGGGCGTTGGGGGTGGACACCTGTAATTCCAGCTACTCAGGAGGCTGAAGCAAGAGAATCGCTTGAACCCAAGAGTTTGAGGTAGCTGTGAGCTATGATGCCACAGCACTCTACTGAGAGTGACAAAATGAGACTCTGTCTCAAAAAAAAAAAAGACCTCAGACTCAGAATGTTAAAATTAAACCATTCACACCATCTTCATATTTTCTCCCCATCTTCTTATGTCCTCCTGCTCACAGAATGGTATTCATTATCCTCCAAGTTGCCCAAACCAAAACCCCAAGACTGCTTGACCTCTTCCCCTCACACCTAACTCCTCTCTGTCTTAAAAGTCTACCTCCTTGACATTGCTCAGATCTGTGTATCCTCTATGTGCTCATTGTTACTGCCTTAATTTAGACCTTCACTGTTTTCTCACCTGGATTATTGCAACATCCCTTCAGTGGATCTCCATGCTTCCAGGCATAAACCCCATTAATCCATTATTCATCCTACAATCAGAGCTCTATGTCTGAACTACAAATCAGATCTCATCACTCCACTGCTTAATTTTTCTCCTTAGTTCCTCACAGCCTCAAGAAAACCAGTGTTCTTAGCATGCTTTACAAGGCTGCTTCCTATCTCCTATTTCATCACCTATCTCCTTCTTGTTTATTCACAAATGTGTCTGTCAGTTCATTTATCCACCCATCAATAGGCATTTATTGAGTGCCTACTATGTTCCAGGCCATATTATAGAACTGGGATGGAATGTATACTGGTGAGCAGTGCAGACATGGTACCTCTCCTCATGGCACAGTCAGTCTATTTAGATGGTACAGAAAACAGTCAGAAATAATGTAGTTACAAAGCATGGTAAGTTGGTTAGAATGAATCTTTTTTTTTTTTTTTTTTAAGTAGGGAGCTTCCCAAGAACAATTGTTATTCCCCACCTTTTTAGGAGCTCAGCCATTATAGAAAAGAACATTCACAATTCTTACAGAAACAAAAGCACAGTCATCTAAATTACAACTGTGTGGAATCAGCCCCGAGCTCACTGTTAACATTTTGAGGATCCAGTATCTTTTGTGTTTTTATAAGCAGTATCACAAAATGGGACATTGTTTATTAATCTGGTTATTAGGTAGTTTACCAGCAACTAAATTGGTCAATAACATCCTATCCTAAGGATAATGTGGGAAAAGTAAGGGTGGTTACTTGGGGAAAACGCAAGAGAACTGAAGACTCCACCTGCAGCATCAGTTCTGCAAAGCTTATGATTTGGGGTGGTCGCCCAACTGTGGGAAGGGCACTCCAATTTAGGGCATCCTTTAGTATCTGGAGGGAGAGGAGTGGAAATGAAATTCTACATTCTTTGGTAATGAAGCTAATGTTTAGCAAATGGTACTCTATTAAAAGTTGTATTATCCTGGCTTAGGACCTCTGCCCCTACTTTACTCTGTCACTAGAGAAGAGGCATGATGTTTCCCCACCATCTTATTTGTAGATGTCTTAGTTATCCACATCGTGGACTAGAGCAGTGGTCCCCAACATTTTTGGCACCAGGAACTGGTTTCATGGAAGACAATTTTTCCATAGAATGGGGATGGGGGGTGGTTTGGGGATTGTTCAAGCATATTACATTTATCGCAGATCAATCAGGCATCAGATTCTCATAGGAGCAAACACCTAGATCCCTTGCATGTGCAGTTGACGGTAGGGATCGGGTTCCTGTAGAATATAATGCAACGGCTGATCTGACAGGAGGCGGAGCTCAGGAGTGATGTGAGCAATGAAGGGTTCACCTGATCACCCCCCTGCTCATCTGTGGTGTGGCCTAGTTCCTAACAGGTTATAATCTACCTGTACTGGTCTGTGGCCTGGAGGTTGAGGACAATAGGACAAGAGAATTATTAGTAGTCCAGTACCCTTCCCTGATAGCTGTTTCCTCTAGGGCTGAGCAGGGGAGAAGAAACATCAGGAGGAAAAGAGTGTTTTTGTGAGTACGTTTCAAAGTTAATAGAACTTATCTGGGAACACTTAAGAAAAATGTGGCTGGCTGGCTTGGCGCCGGTACATACACAGTATAGCCACATACACAGAGGCTGGCAGGTTTGAACCCAGCCTAGGACTGCTAAACAACAATGACAACTGCAACAAAAAATAGCCAGGCACTGTGGCAGACACCTTAGCCCCAGCTACTTGGGAGGCTGAAGCAAGAGAATTGCTTAAGCTTAAGAGTTTGAGGTTGCTGTGAACTATGACGCCATGGCACTCTACTGAGGGTGACATAGTGAGACTCTGTCTCAAAAAAAAAGAAAGAAAGAAAGAAAAGAAAAACTGTGACTGGCACGACTCTGTGTAGAGCTATTTGGGGCACCGCTGTGATGGGACTCACCAGCATTCTAGAATGGGCATGCTGATGAGCAGATCACCACTGTCTCACATAGCAAACCCAGGAGCTTCTGGAAGATGTGGGGAAAAGTTAATTTTAAAAAAAATGGCTTGGTGTGGTGGCTCATACTTGTAATCCTAGTAGTTTGAGAGGCCAAGGCAGGAGGATATAGTTGAGGCCAGGAGTTAGGAACCAATCTGAGCAACATAGTAAGACTCCATCTCTGCCAAACAGAAAAACTAGCTGGGTATGGTGGTACATTTATGTAGGCCCAGTTACGTGGGAGGCTGAGACAAGGGGATCACTTGAGCACAGGAGTTTGAGGTTGCAGTGAGCTACGATAATATTAGCAAGACCCTGTCTCAAAAAAACAAAGATAAGACAGAATGCCACCAGTAACACAGCAGGACCCATCTCTAAAAAAAATTTTTTTAAGGCTGGGCATGGTGGCTCATGCCTGTAATCCTAGCACTCTGGGAGGCGGAGGCGGGTGGATTGCCTGAGCTCTCAGTTCAAGACCAGCCTGAGCTACTGCAAGACCCCATCTCTAAAAAACAGTAGGGCATTGTGGTGGGTGCCTGTAGTTCCTAGCTACTCAGGAGTCTGAGACAAGAGAATCGCTTGAGCCCAAGAGTTTGAGGTTGTTGTGAGCTATGATGCCACAGGACTCTACTAAGGGCTACAAAGTGAGACTGTCTCAAAAAAAAATTTTTTTTTAATTGGGTATGGTGGTAAATGCTGGTAGTCTTAACTACTCAGGAAGTTGAGGCAGGGGGAGTGGTCCAGCCTAGGAGTGTGAGCTATAGCTCTGATCATACCACTGCATTCCAGCCTGGGCAGTAGAATGAGACCTTGTCTTAAAAAAATAAATATAAAACAAATGCCTAATCTAAACATTTATGGATGAAGGAGAAAAATCAGCCTCCCATTTCAAAATCCATAGACTTCTCCCTTTGCAGACACACCAGAAACAGTACTTTAAGTTATAGTTAGTGGGGTGAGTTGGAGGTAGACATCAGGCTAAACCAAGAGGAAATGTCCTCATTTCCTTTTGGGGAAAGGGGTTGCTGCTTTCACTTGGGAAACAGTTTTAGCTTTCTTCTAGGTTCAACATGGGCCTCTGACTTTAGCAGTTATTGATAATTGCTAGCCTTGTTCTGCCCCCTGTCCACTCAAAGGCCAAGGATTTCCCAAGTGATCATATTTATAGGCAGCTCTGAGCCTTTCTCCAAAGAGCCTTTCTTCAGAAGGTAGGAAAGGGGAAAGAAAGCACGTTCTTACCAGAAAAAAATGAAACACAATCATCCATCCCCATCCTCCATCCAAGGGTTTAGTGTAAGCTTGGGCCTTCCCCTCCCTCTTCGGCATGATGAGTCCTCTGTTTTAAATGGAGAAGATCCCTGTGACAAAGCCATAGTTGATTTGGTTAACAAGAAACTAGTTTTTAAACTTTATTTTTCTATATAAAAATCACTGGTACTGTCATTTCTCCCCTGACCCTCTTAGATACATAAGAACTCTGCCTAAAGTAAGGACTTGGCTAACTGCAAAGCCTGACCTCAACGGCTATGGAGTGGCCACTCCTAGCATTGTGCTGGATGTCCTTCCCCTAGGTCTGCAAGCCAGCTTCTTAGGACAGCTATGCACCATCCTCCTGGCCTCTGGGTGAGCTCTTGACTTGAGAGGAATGGAAAGGGAGGGAGAGCCTTGAGTTTAGGAATTCCTTTTACAAAGCACATGCTAAATTTAAATATTCTAAGAGCTAAATAGAAATGACATGAAAATGCAATAGCCTTTCCTCGAATAACGGATCCTGGATCAGAAAAAAAGTTGTAAAGGACAGTCAGAAATTTGAATATACAGTGTATAATAGAGGATACTATGTCAAGAATAAATCTCTTAGGTATCACAGGGTTGTCTTGTGGTTCTGCATGAGAACATCTTGTTCTCATGCATGCTAATGTATTCAGGAGTGAAATATCACTATGCAGCCAGTAAAATAAATATGTATGTGTAGAGAGAGAACAAAAAGAAAACGTGAGTCTCTGAGGAAGCGGGGCAGCACTCATTATCTCCCTGTCGGTTTGAAGGCAGGCTGTTTTACTGGAGAGGAGAATGAGCTGGCAGGGTGCGTAGAGTGACCGTCTGGTGGGCAGGCTGGACCGGAAGAAAGGTGCTGGTCAAAAACCAACCCCACACACAATCTCATTTCCATCTTACCTTTGATGTGATGTTTCAGCAAAGGAGTGAAGGCAGATGAGGCAATTTAGGAAGAAAAAGAAATTATACTACTTTCTAGAATGTTACTCTTTCTAAGACATTTTGTTCTGCTGCCCTGTGGAAACAAGTGAGCCTTGTGAGAGCCAAGGAGAGCACAGCTGGTTTAGGAACTCCTGCCAGTGGACTTTACTTCCTGAGAGGAGGAGGGATTGCTGCGATCTGATGTCATCTCAGGCCCTTCCTCCACCCAGTCTTATTCAGAAAGAAGAATTTTTCACCCTGGGCTCAAAACAAGCAGCAAAGTCAACCAAGGGGAAAGTCCTTTTGGTGATTATGCTCAAGGTAGGAGGATGGGGTCCCCAAACTTCAGTATGTCATCTGTGAAGTTCCTCAGGGAACTTGAGACATGCCTTTTTTTTTTTTTTCTTTTTAAAACAGTCTCATTCTGTTGCACCAGGCAACCCAGCTCACAGCAACCTCAAACTCCCAGGTTCAGGCAATTCTCTTGCCTTGGCCTCCTGAATAGCTGGAAAGACAGGCGCCTGCCACAATGTCCAGATAATTTAGTACAGATGCCCAGTTTTTAGTACAGATGGGGGTCTTTCTAGGCTGGCGTCTAATTCCTGAATTCAAGGGATCTTCCTTCCTTGGCCTTGCAGAGTGCTAGGATTACAGGCGTGAGCCACTGTGCTTGACCTAAAACATGCTTATTTTGTAGGAGAAATACCTGACTCTCCCAGAAGAGAGACAGACATTTTCTGGGCCACAATGGTGGTGATTTTTTTTTTTTATTTCAACTTTATTACTTTGAAGGTTTTTTTTTTTTATTACTTCTTCCTCCTGTAGTGTTTTCTTGCCCCCCATGGAGCTGGAATCACAAGGTCCGGCTGTCTCATTGTCCTGTTGTTGTTGTAGAGACGACGTCTCACTCTGGCTCATTTGGCTCAGGGGGGTCTTGGTTGGTCTCGAACCTCTGAGCACAGGTGATCCACCCGCCTCGGCCTCCCATAGCGCTGGGACTACAGGTGTGAGCCACCACGCCTGGCCACAAATGGTGATCTTCCATAAGGTTAGCCCATTGGCATGGACTTTTGTGTATTTACTAAAGATTCTGGTTACTAATTTGGGATTTTAGTGAGAGAGGATACCCAGGAAAGGTGAGGTCTAGGAGAGCAGGTCTTCTCAAGCAGACCACAAAGATATACCTGCAGGAATCTCTCCATGGTGACTCAGCTCTTGGGAATTTGGAAACTAAACTTCCTGGGAACTTGGAAATTTCCAAGTTCTGTGAAATCCTGTAGTTCTGTAGGGGCTAGAATAACATCTCCCGCTTGATTCAAACTGGCCAGTGGGAGGGGTACCTGTGGGGTGGAACTTTTTGACTGTCAATAAAAAGGGAAAGACCAAGCCAGTCGGGGAGCACAGCCATTTGGAATTCTATGCCGTAAGCTCCTAGCTGGTGAATAAAACCCTTCATCTTATAAACACGGTGTTTGGGTGCTCTTTCTCTCTGTTGGGCCTCATCTTCCTGCAACATTTTTGGTTTCCTGACTGGGAAGCGAGATCACCCTTGGAGAGAACACTCACCTGATAGTTGCCGCCAATCCTCATGAAACCCACGTGGGGGCCCCTGATTGGCCTGGGTGCGTGAACCACTGAGTGAGCCAGGGAAACAATTTCTCCTCCCTGTGTGGACACCTTGGCTGGGTGGAGAAAGGACCCACTTGGCGGGTCCTTCCACCGAGAGGAACTGGCGTGCAGGAACAGGTGCCTACTATACAGGGAGACATCTAAGGCAAAGTATGATTGATCTGGGGGTCCCACTACAGTTTTAGTGGAAGAAGGAGCCTGATCAACTCCTTGGGCATTTGATAACCAGCAGGTCTGTTGAGAGGTGTGACTGAGAGAACTCTGAGAGTGGAGTTGGACCTCCCTTCACAGGCCTAGAGGAGTGTTGTTTGGCTCCTAAGGCTAAGTGGCAACTCTAGTGGGAAATCGAGGTTGCCCAGGTTAAGAAATGGGTTGGAGTTGTGTGCATGTGAGTGCTTGGAGAATGACTGAGATGGTAATAATAGGTGGTGTTTCGCACCCCCCGCCCCATTCACGGGATGAAACGAATGTGCGAGTGTGCCCTTCTTCCCTGCTCTAATTTTGCCCCCTGGCTATTTTGAGAGAAACTAGAAGTTTCAGGTTTTCCACTTTCTGTCTTTGGCGGCAGCCACGTGGCCATGTGGGACTTGGGGGAAAATGAAAAGACATTAGAAAGGATGACTGTGTTGTGGTTTTATTACTGGAATTTCTTCAGCAAGTCTTTGGTCTCAGGAATTTGAGAATTGAGCCCATGGGCCACAAATCAGTGACAAAATGGGATTTTGTTGGACTGAGGGGCATGCAGAGGGAGTGGAGAGTGCCAGGGCTATTGGCAGAGGGATGTGCCTTGGAAAGTGTTGTGGTTCGGGCAGTCCGGTGAGCTCTGTATGGCCTTTGAAAATCTGAGGAAGTGATTTGGCCCCTGTGGCTCAAGTGGCTAAGGCGCCAGCCACATACACCTAAGGTGGCAGGTTCGAATTCAGCCCAAGCCCGCCAAACAACAATGACAGCTGCAACCAAAAAATAGCCAGGCATTGTGGTGGGCGCCTGTGCTCCCAGCTACTTGGGAGGCTGAGGCAGGAGACTCACTTGAGCCCAGCAGTTGGAGGTTGCTGTGAGCAGTGATGCCACTGCACTCTACCCAGGGGGACAGCTTTAGGCTCTGTCTCAAAAAAAAAAAAGAAAATCTGGGGGAGAGAGTGTAAATCTCATGCTGGGCAGGGCTGTATCCACATCCGCAACAGGTCTCCAAGGTGAACAGCCTCTGGAAGAGGGGGAGGAGGCCCAGGTCAGAGGTTTCCTGCATGAGTCCTTTGTCTAAGGGTAAATAATTGGTCCTGAGAGATATTTTGGCCAGGACTTGGTAGATGGAAAAATACCTTTACAAACTGAATGGGTATTCTAGCAAATGAATGAATGCAGCCCCTTACCTTGGACAAGTTAGGTCTTTGCAGTGGTTTTTGTCTGGGGAGGGGATTAGGGTTTGTGCTCCTTAGTCACGGTGGAGCCATCCAAAAGGTTTGGGGCTGCTTTGTTCACGACCTTGCTAGGGCTCAGAGGGTATAGCCTGCAACACGTTTGTGCCTGGAGATAGGAGTCTAATGTCTGAGCTCACCTGAGCCTGAAAAATGGGAGCTCCCTGTCTAGCCCTGAGTGGGAAAATCTTGTATCAATGTTATATTTTATAAAATGTCTCATTTGTAAAATGTAATAATTTGGTTGTTTAAATTATTTAGGAAACTGAGTCTTTGTCAAAGGATAAGATTCTTGCCTTTTAAACCTTCTAATTATCAGTTTGGCAGAGTGAATGGGTGACTTTATAGTAAACTGAGATCCTGTTTTGTGGGAAGTGAGTTTTTGAGAGTAAGAGATATTAGACAGAAAGGAGAATGGCATCGTGTAAAGAAAGAATTTTGTCCTGAAAATAAAATAAATAAATTTTGTCCAAAATAAATTTTGTCGGCTC